AGTCCTTGGAGCCTAGACATTCTAACTCATAAAACAATTCAAAAACTAGCCTACAAAGAAAATTTCTAATCTCACAGTGAACTAGATATTAAAATTTTGGTATTAGACAAAATATTTTCAGATGGTAAATAACTCTTCAGCGGCTGTTTAAAATTTAAGAAATTAACATCTTATGGTGGGTAAATCCAAGATGGCCGTTAGCTTCGATGGACTCCCTTGGAAAACAATTTAAAACTACCGGTACATTGAAAAATTCTTATCTCACAGTGTCCTTAGATAGACTATTTAAATTATAACCACTTTGAGGTTTGAAAAAATATTTTTGGATGATAAATAACTTTTCAGCACCTGTTTGAAATAATCCAAGAAGCCGCTAAACTCCAAGGACTCTTAAATGAGAAAGGAATAAATGAGTTTAATTCCATTAAAAATTACAAATAAGAAATAAAAAATTCAGAAAAAAAGGCAGCGAGGAAAAATACTACGTGGGCCTGTTCATAGACTCCTTGGAGACTTACATTACACTTGTTTTTAGGAAGAGGAGGGAACACGTCTGATAAACACATTGGAACGTGTGTTCGGCGTCTTCGGGAACGCCCGGAGAGTAAATACTATCGGGTGAAAACTTAGGCCATCAAAAGCAGGTACGACTGAAAATAGCCGTGACCTGACAAGAACGCATGAGGTTGTAGTCAACCTCGCCATGCCAACTCGACAGCGTTTTAATTATAATTTTAAAACACATAAAAACTCTGATAAAAACTGATAATTTTTGTCATTATCAGTCATTAAAATCATCAGGGACAAAATGTCCAGAAGTGCCACAAACACTTTCCTCTCAATCTTCATGGATGAAATTCCTAAATTGGCTCATTGGGGGTAAGGTAGTCTTGAAAAATCTGACGTCCTTACACCTGACTCAAACGAAGGCACGGCTGCGTCCGTGATCCCGCATTGGTGCTTCTATGTTGTTTTGCATACAACAAGCGGCACTGCCAAAGGAGTCTGGGAACCAAAAATGTGGATCTCTGTCATGGTACTGCTTGCTGATCAGAAGCGTGTCTGCGCCGATCTCTTATGCCAGCTGATCCAAAAGGAAGTATTGGACCTCTCAAGGTTACCCTGGAGAATCCCAACTTCCGAGACTAGCGTTAAACACTAATTGTGTGAATTATTATTGATAGAAACTTTCAAAAGTTTTAACATTGGTTTTATTAGCCTTATTATAGCTGTATCATAAAATTGGCCCTGTAAAGTGATGATGGTATTATAAACAGAGAAAGGAAATAATGATGATTATGATCATTGATTATGGTGGTGGTGATGAGAATAATGGATAAGAACATGATAAGCCAAGTAGTATAAATAAGAGTCTAGTTATACACTTAGTAGTGAAAAATCAACTTACGTGAGCTGGAGAGAGGTAACGGCGAGGATTTTTGTGTAGGTCATAGTTCTGAAATACAAACAACTCATTCAATAATTTGTAAATTCAAAATTTATTTTTGTTATTCTTATGGAAAACGAGTAAACATTTGTAGTTATGATATATTTTGATCAAATTTGGCAAATTAATTTATTTTATACTAGATATGCTATTCACACATATCAGCATAACATTAATTGGTATTGATTCTGATTCAACACTTTACTTAACAACTAAAAACACACTTTAAGTAAACATTTGTTATTTGTGCAACTAGTGAGCAAAGTGAGCAATTGACTCACTCGAGAGAAATACTTACCCACGAGCCGTAGGCGAGTGAGGAATGGTTTCTCGAGTGAGGCAATTGCACTTTGCACTCGAGTTGCACATTATATTTTTCCTACAGATACCGTAAAACAAATAATTTGGTAAAGAAACGTATCATATTTTTACACAGAAATGAACTTTTTTATGACATTTAATGATACAACAGTACAACAGCTGACTAGCTGATTTACAGCCAGTGCTGCCAACGTATTTCGCGCACATAAAAACTTGTCTTCATGTTGCACGCTCACTATTTTGTGCCTTCACGTTGCAAATCTGGAGTGAGACAAAGTAATTAGAGTGAGACAATGTTAACATTGTCTCACTGATGAGCGAATTGGCCACTTTGCTTTCTCAAATCAGTGAGAGAACATTGTTAGGTGACTGTAGGAAAACTTTATTACTCTTCTCTAAATACTCGTTAAACTAAATAATATTATTTAAATAGGGAATACATCTGACATGTTTAGAGAAATGTTTAAGTGAAAATCCAATCAAGCAAATGGAAATTCAATTAATCTGCAGGTTTGCAGTGGTGAGGGTATTTATATCATACATTTAGAGTTAGGCCAATTGTTTTGAGTCCGAATTTTAAGTAGGGTTGTTAATATTCAAACTATATCACCACTAAATACTAAAATAAACATGTTAAACTGTATTTTTGTTTCATTATAGCCTACCTCCCTTTTATTAATTTAAAAGTATTTTGATTTTTTAGACTTACTCAGCTTTACAATGATATAACCACCAGGACTTTTTTAAAGGCTACGTACAGTTTATCAGATAATGTAAAAATCTCAGAATCATATATTCTTTACAGGTGATATTTTAACTATTTCTAAAAAAGTTTAAAAATAGTAGTTTAATGACCTAAGCAGTTAAAAACTTACCAGGTTTTCATTTCTGCACTTCACCAACATCCCTTCATTTTGGTCATAGATGGTGGTGGTATTGTCATCGTTTATTTCAAATCTCAGTTGGCTTGGTGGTATATCAGCTAGGTCGGAACTGAACTTAAGCAAGAATTCACAGTTATAATAAGTATAACAGCGGCATACTAGGCTTTTCAGCATCACCAATCTCTGAAAATATATAAAACCTAACATTAATGGACCAAAGTTAAATTTACTGGTAAATTTATGGTAAACTTAATGTGAAACGGTAAGACTCAGTGTTAAAGGGGATTGGAGTTAAAGCCTTGTTTGAGGATTTGAGGTGCATCCAGCAAAATACATTCATTAAAACATTTTCAACCACATTCCGTTAAACCCAAATCCGGGATAACCGAAACCTTCGTAAAAGGATCTAATGAATTGGGAAATTAGCTAGCAACAGGAGTTGTTTGCTATGACGTGGGTAGTTGGCCTGGATTGACCAATGGAATGTAATGGATCTCATACCATGATAAAGAAGTTCAGAAAACGATTGTTGATTGTTTTGAGAAATACATTTGATAAATGCTGAGGTGGATTTTAAGACAATAGTAGTTAAAAACATGTTTATAAAACAACTGTTGTATATCTCTTAGAAACAGCATTTAAATTTGAACTACTGATTAACCGTAAAAATGGGTTAGGGGCCTATATGAAACGGACTCGCAGCATTTTTCCCTAATCAAGGTTTTATCGTAATAAATAAATGTTTTGTGATGCAGCCTACAGTAATGACACAACCTACGAGCTTTCTGGTATTACTCAGGCAGATGTAAAGTTATCGAAGACGGTGGAGTTTTTAGCTGATAAGCCGGACTTTGCCTCCTCCCTCTTTTCTCTTCTCACCTACTAGTTAGCCACACTGCTTTGCCATTAATCAGTCATTCAAACTATTCTCTATCAACCAATGTTTTGTACAGTATGGTTGATCATTTTATAGTCATAGAACCTTTATGCACAAAGTTTAAATGGTTGTAAAATTAAAATACTGATGTTGCCATTTTAGTCAAACAAAACCTTTCAATCTTTGACTCTCCCTGAAAATTAGCAGTAATGTATTAAGGAATCAATTTAATGAAAACATTTCTAAAACTAAGCTCTTTATTACAAAAGTTATCAAATTGAATCTTTTCAAAATGTTTTACTGGTTATATTTGTTTTTCTTACTTCCTAGAATTTTTATTCTAAATGTTCTGTACCTTTAACTGTTTGATAAATTTTTATAAATCAGTGTGAACTGTTGTGTGCTATCAGCAAGATGCGACTGTTACAGTAAGTACCGGTGATAAAAAAAAAATATATTTTGTCCCGCCTTTGCATCCTAGAACGCTAGGCGTTAGCTCGGAACCGTTTCTACATTGCTTCAGACTAGGTTAGATTATTACTTAGATCAAATCCATTGGTGATTGGCAGGAATTTAATTGGCACCTCGGAGACCAAAGCCCTACATTCTACCAATAAACCAGTTCACTACCCAGCAATTTTGCTACAATACTCCTACAATGTTTCCTACGATGTTGACTTGATTAACGATATGGTATATTTCTCTTGAGAGAAATTCAGAAAAGCCATCCGCAATAATCTTTTAGATATAAAAAAAAAATTAAAATTAATAATACAATTTGAGACAAGATAGATAGATAGATGGTTTCAGAGTTTTAAATTGAAGTTTCTCAAGATTATAAAGAAAATTCACAGACTGAAGTAGAATTTAACACTTACATTAATCCAGTCGGACTGATCAATCAGGGGAAATTTGAAAGGGAGCCCCTGAGGCCACCAATCAGGTGCGGGACAGTTGTTGATTCTCTTAGGTGATTTGAGAATTTCTTGTCCCAGCGAGCATTGCACCATAAATGGAACAAACTCCTCCAACTCAGGCTAAAAAAAAATTTACTAGGACAAAACTTACGTTATTCACTGACAGGAATAAACTGCAGGGATTCAATTTTATTTTGTAAACTTAACCTCAATATAAAATAGGGCTCAGTTCTTGTACAAATCATTTGGATACCGTAGCTACGCATGGAAGAATGACTTAGTCTATGCTACAATATAATACAGTTAATTAATAGCCTATGTTACAAGGACTTATAATCACAAACACTATTATAGTACGCTGCAAAAGTCAATTATAATTTGGACCTACAGTTAGATATCTTAAGAAAAAATGTTTTTTGTAAGCTTTCAAAACAAACTTTCAAGTAAACAGTACGCACTTTCTGATTTTAAAAACCATTTAGGATACAAAAAAACTTGTTCCTACATAAGAACATTTTTTACTTTCCTAGGACATTTTTACTGAAAATGATAACCAGGATTTTTTTACAACTACACAAGTTCACAAAAAAATGTTTTGATTGAAAAGCCTTACATATTGGATTTTTGTTAGCTTGGGTAACAATTTCATTTCAATTCATTTTCTTAATATTTATTAATAACAATAACGTAGGTAACAGTATATTAACTAGTAATATTCATCCAATTTTGTAACAAAAATCAAATCTCCGCATCGATTTATAAAACAACATTCTCAAAAACAGTAAAACCTGCTTGCTCAAGTGCTAAAAAGAGTTAAAATAAGTAGATATTAGAAAACAGAATGGAAAAGGGGAAACAAGAAACAGGCTACAAAAATTTAGGATAATTGATAGGAAAATATTTAAAAATTAGGAACAAGAAAAGTAATAAGTTGTATAAATACACTTCTAACTTCCAAAGGTCTGTTTGCTCTACGACTCATTGTGTCCCAGATTATATCTGTAAACAAAATACAACACACAACACACCATGTTACTTAAACCCAATAACTCATATTTTGTTAGACATAGTCTTTGTCTATTACCTGGGAAATTGTTTCCAGGCTTCGAGGTTGTCCATTTGCAAAAAGAAGGGGCAAATTGGACGACATGAGTTTCTTACATTTGGTGAAGTCGATATTAACTTCTTCTTTTCTTCTCAAATATCTACTGTCTCTCTTCATTGTCATTTTCCCTAGGAACAAACTGTGTTATTTCACTAATTAACTTGTAACTAACATCCCTATGATGAGAACATGTATTTATATTTTGTAAGTGACAATCTTTTGTATAATTTCAAATTTACAACATACCACCACCACTTAACATGTTACCTAATACAGGTTGTTAATTAGAATTAAATTTAGTATTATTTTTAACAAATAGAAAAAGACTGTCCTACAAACATATATAAAGACTTTCTTCACACTTCAAACTTTCTCTAAACTTCATCGCCTCCAGAAACACAAGTGAATCAAACTTGCAAACAATGTTTCAAATGACAGTTTTAGCTCATGACAGGCTAAAACCAACTAAGAGCCCTTCCCCCATAATTTCATTGGAGGGTCATAAAAATACTCTAAAACTTTTAAAAAGTTTAACTAAGTAAGTAAGTTAAGTTAAACTTACTTAAGTAAGTTTAACTTAAGTAAGTTTAACTTAAGTTTAACTTTCTTCCTACAATTTTAGGAAATTTCTAGGAAAAATATAGATACTAGAGCTTTGTGAATTGCATTTATTTGAAGATTTTCTTTTGGAAGAGGATTTGTTCCAGCTCTCGCAATTAAGAGATATTCATGGATTCGGTGGCAAGCGACAATAATGATGTTCCGTGATTTGGCCACAATCACAGTTGATGATGATGTCTTCAAGAACATGGGAGATGCTTACGATTCGGTGTGATTGTGAGTGACGATGATGATGTTTGATGTTTATGTCAGATATTTGAAGTCGATGTTATAATATTGTGTTGAAGATAATATTTCTGTGATATTCAATCCTGTTTGAGGAACAGATGATTTGTTTATAACAATTAGTATGATTTTTGAAACTTGAGATGTGTTTTGTAGATGTTGAAAACGCTGTGATAGTTTGCCAAACAACCAGACTGAGATTAGCTAGTGTTTTTTTTGTTTTTTTTATAAGACTGATGTCTCACAGTTAAATTGCACCAAATATGTATTTTATAGAAAAGTGCAACAAGGGCTGCAACAGGGTGTCTACCAGATTTCTCAAATGGAATTCCCGACTTTTTCCCGACTTTTCATTACCATTTTTATATAAATCCCGACCAAAAACTGGGTCCGTTCTCCATGTTACTACACCTTTTTCCGTCTCGCGATCACTCGCGACACAGCGAAATCACTGACGATCGAAACAAATCACATGCCGAGAAAATCCCGTATTAAATGTAGGGGTGTGTGAAGCAGCAAAACATTTCAATTCAAAGCAACTATTCGATTTAAAAAAATGTTGATGTAACTCGATTCGAAGCAACATGGAATTTTTCTATTCATACTTGTCAGTGGAGTACAATATCTGTTTTCAATCATACATTAGAAGAACCAGTATTTCTGGAAATATCAGTGAGCTTCTTGCCTATTTCATAATTTTTACTTGCAGCATCATGTTGTTAAGCATGTTACCTATTTTATTTTATTGATTATAAATAAAGATATGTTTGGGTGTAAACAAATAAAAACCTTTGTAAGATTTAAATACTGAATCTTTCAATTGGTTTACATTGATAAAATAAGAGGATAGAATCAGAACTACAAGGTATACATAACTTCTTGTATGGCAATAACCGGTATGGCAAAGCAATGTCTCAGTGTATGCCATGTACTTGGATGGCAATAACATGAATGGCGAAGCAATGTCTCAGTGTATGCCATGTACTTGGATGGCAATAACATGAATGGCGAAGCAATGTCTCAGTGTATGCCATGTACTTGGATGGCAATAACCTGTATGGCTAAGCAATGTCTTCTCAGTGTATGAAATGTACGTGGATGGCAATAACCTGTATGGCTAAGCAATGTCTCAGTGTATGCCATGTACGTGGATGGCAATAACCTGTATGGCTAAGCAATGTCTCAGTGTATGCCATGTACTTGGATGGCAATAACCTGTATGGCTAAGCAATGTCTCAGTGTATGCCATGTACTTGGATGGCAATAACCTGTATGGCTAAGCAATGTCTCAGTGTATGCCATGTACGTGGATGGCAATAACCTGTATGACTAAGTAATGTCTCAGTGTATGCCATGTACTTGGATGGCAATAACCTGTATGGCTAAGCAATGTCTTCTCAGTGTATGAAATGTACGTGGATGGCAATAACCTGTATGGCTAAGCAATGTCTCAGTGTATGCCATGTACGTGGATGGCAATAACCTGTATGGCTAAGCAATGTCTCAGTGTATGCCATGTACTTGGGTGGTAATAACTTGTATGGCTAAGCAATGTCTCAGTGTATGCCATGTACGTGGATGGCAATAACGTATGGCTAAGCAATGTCTCAGTGTATGCCATGTACGTGGATGGCAATAACTTGTATGGCTAAGCAATGTCTCAGTGTATGCCATGTACTTGGATGGTAATAACTTGTATGGCTAAGCAATGTCTCAGTGTATGCCATGTACGTGGATGGCAATAACTTGTATGGCTAAGCAATGTCTCAGTGTATGCCATGTACTTGGATGGTAATAACTTGTATGGCTAAGCAATGTTTCAGTGTATGCCATGTACTTGGAGGGTAATAACTTGTATGGCTAAGCAATGTCTCAGTGAATAACTTATATAATTAATGTCAATCATTTGAATAATGTCAATAAGTTATATGGATACTGATAGTCAAAGTAACACTATCAATGTAACAGTCAACTACGTATATGGATACTGATTCAATAACGTATGGACACTGATTCAAAAAGGTATTTGGATAATGATTCAATAACGTATATGGATACTGATTCAAAAACGTATTTGGATACTGATTCAATAACGTATATAGATACTGACTCAAAAATGTATGGATACTGATTCAAAAACGTATTTGGATACTGATTCAATAACACATGGATACTGATTCAAAAACGTATATTTATACTGAATCAAAAACGTATATGGATACTGATTCAATAAAGTATGGATACTGATTCAAAAACTTATTTGGATACTGATTCAATAACGTATATGGATACTGAATGCCCATGATTCAAATTGTTATTTTGATCATCACTGAATCAAATTGGAATTCCGATGCATTTTCGATTCATCCCACACCCCTTCAATGTAATCCCGTCCCAATGATCAGGAATATAAGATCCAGAATTTGTTTTAAAGTTTTGGGACCCGTTCATCCCTAATTTTGAAAGGTTAGATTATTCCCGACTTTCGGCCGAAATTCATGACTTTTTCACGACTTTTCCCGACCTTTCAAAATCCCCGACTTTTTCCCGAATTTCCCGGAATTCCCGACTGGTAGACACCCTGTGCAAATTTTTTTGTCATTTGTTTCCTGAATTAAAAATACATTCCTGCCCATCCATAATTTTAACCTAACTCTAATTGTTATTTAAAAATTCAAATCAAAACAAGATTCCAAAAATCAATTTTTAAGAAATACAGTTTTAGGTGACCGTGCTACCTACCATAGAAGATGCCTCTCTGAATATAAAATCTAAATCCACCATTATACATTCCCACAGACATGGTAGCCAATGTAGACTAGGCTTAACACTGATAATGATTGTCAAAGTTTAAATAAGTTATTCAAAGAACTGAACCATAACGATAAACCTATAGTAGACTTTTTAATTCTGCAGCCTGTAAATTTCTAGTGGTAGAAGACAAAGATAGTTGGGATTGACAAAGATGGTCTTTATTCTTAAAACCACAAATGACATTCAAAACATAAGTAAAACTCAACTTAAAACACCATACCCGAAACAAAATCTATACTTTTAAATGCTGCTTCTTGTGAATTTCTACTAGTGATGTTGAGAGCATAAAGAAAAATACTGGTAATGAAGAATACAGATCCTGCCACGCCCGCCACCCAAGATGTAAACATAGGCCTAGTAAAAGAATCTTTGCTAAATACATGTATACACATTTTCATTACTATCCATATCAAATGCACACCGCACTTAAAATAATATTGAATAAAGCTTGAAAAAGACAACCAAACATGCAGAACAAATTTAAAACAAGTTTTAACTGAAAACGTACACTATTTTTTTTTTTTTCGACAGCTAGGAGACGCAGCGGTTTGACGACTGAGCGTCTTTGTACCACAAAGCATTGCGTAACGGCAGTAGAGGGGAATTCCAATGACAGAAGTGGGGGGAAAAGAAACCAATGGGAGCCAACGTGCTTCTAGACCCGCCCAACACTTTTATTTCTGTTCCCATTGCTTTAAAACTCTAGTTTTACAGGTATTGTTGGAAATTTTAGGAAAAAACTAAATGGAAAGAACTTTTACAACTAAACTGGACAAAGGTGATGAGGACAGAACAATCCAGTTTTATTTTTCAGTAAAATCTTTGTAGCAGTAGTTATAATTTTTAATACTTTGGTCCTCGCAGTGTCCCATAATGGCAGCAAAGGAAGGGGGTTTAACCTTGAAAGTAGTGGGGGGGAAAGTAGCCAATAGGAGCCCAATGTTGATTCCCGATCTCCAGTATTTCATTTTCTTTCCCACTACAAACTTCCAGATGCTACTTTAATAGGTTTTGTTTAAAGCTCATATTCCTCCAAATAGGCTTCAAGTAGGCTGTTTCAAGACCACCTACCAGCACCAGATTAATTTATGAATTAGAACAAATGTCTGCTCATTCAAACTTTTTAACCAAAGAATTATTTCTGGTAACTTACCATTGGACGAGCACAATGCCTAGAAGATATCAACCAGATGATTTCCAATTTCTTTCAAAAGTCCGAGTCTAAGCTGATATTTCTCCATCACCCAGATAAGTCGCTGGTTGTATTAATTTAACTTGACAAATAAAAGCTTTCCTGAAAAAAATACAACAAAGTAAAGACCAAATGTATTTTACAGCATTATCTTCAAATAGATTATCATTTAAAGCTAGAGTGATTTTAGTTAGTATTAAACTAAATGTAGCCTATCTTAAACTACAATCAATTTTTTTAAATGACTGAATAAGCCGCCTTTTGATGATAATAATAATGCACAATTTTCTTATACATCGGCTCAAAATGAATAATAGTTATATAACAATCAGTGCATTTTCCACAACCAATATTTAACTGTCAGCTAATGATTTAGTTTTATAGCCAATGGTTTTGTTAATCCAATAGATGCTTCACACGACTTGGCAAAAAACTATCACAAAAGCCTACTAAGTTTTAAAAATACATAACAAAAACAAATTCTTAATTTTTAAAGTTGACCACCATTGTTTTGTATTAAGTCGCTTGCATTAATTAGAATCACAAACCGCTTATCCAAACCACTCACAATTAATTAGAATTTGTTGGTGATAAAACATGTGCTAATTGCTGCTACACTAAATTTTCTTTAGAGAGTAGATGATGATTGTTATAAGTCAATGGTAAATATGCAAACTTTAAAAACGACAAATACATAACCTAAACAAAGGATTCATAAACTAATGTTTAGTAAATTTTTATTGCAAAGCGTTATGTTTTACGAGTGGAGACAAAAGCCTCCTAGATGGTTTCAAAGACCATTAATGTGTGAGAGGCCAACCAAAGGAGCCAATGCAATGGTCCAGTTTATTAACCCGAGTCACAAATCCATTATGAGTTATGATTTACGACTGAGTGGCACGTGCCAGCATAAATGGTCCAGGTGCTGCTATTCCTAGCGGATGTTGCACTAGGATCATTGCTTTTAGAATTACAGCAATACAGATAGCTTTGCATATAACATTGCATATAGCATTGCATGACCTATCAGTTCAATCTAATCTGCATAGTCAGAACCACAAGGTTTCTTAGAACCCATATCTGTTGTTGAAGTAGGCCTGTTGGAGGTATTCTCATATTGCGCGACACCTATTAGGTGTGTAATAGCTAACTGGGTGTGTAACTCACTTTTGTTAAATATTTTTTGTTATTTAAGTATTGTTTTTTTCTGTAAATAATGTCTGTGTAATTAATAATGTTTTCTATTATATATTTATAAGTACGGTATGCATGTCAAGTCTTGTGGCCCTAACTTTTCCTTTTTAAATAAAGGATTTCCATTTTTTTTTTCATTCATTCATTCATTTACATTTTTCCTCATTATAAACCTCTTTCTCCGTTTAACGTGTAGTGTTTTTGTAAAAACCCCATCACTCTTAGTTACATGTCATTCAACCTAGTAAAATATAAAACCAAGTTTATTACACTTTTCAAATTTTATGCATCAAATGTGGAATTGTTTGTGAGAGTTTCATAGGCTAACTGCTTCTTAACAGATTTCTATGATGATTTATCATCAAAAATCGTAACTAAATGTATTTCCTCATAACCAGTTCTATTACCAGTCAAATTTATCAAAATTAAGTAAGTTTGTGCGTTTTTTATGCCTGCTAAATCATGACCAGTTAGGGCTTTTTGCAATCAAAACTTTAGTATGAGGCTGAATGATGTAGGTGAAATCATAAACTTGTTATTTTAACAATTTTGATTTAAGATCTTTTTGACTGTAATTCTATGCTATGCTGGCCATATAAAGTAAAAGATTTTAACTTTTCAAACTGTTTGATAGCTGAAAGGTTTTTTTTTTATTTGAAGATAATTGTGATGGCTCATATAAAAGAAAATATAACTTCTACATATAAACTTAAAATATATAAATGTGTCTGAGTAAAATATGATTTATAGTAGGCCTATTAGATTGAGTGGGGTATTAAAAATGTCTTGTCTTTGGGTATGAGTGATTACTAAGATAATTTTGAAACATTCCAGGATTTCCATGAACCATTTTTTAAATTTCAAAAACGTATATTGAAGTTAGAGTTAAAATTTTAAAAAAATTAAACAATTGTCTACATTATGTTTTTTTTGGGGGCAATTTGCAAGAGTTCTGATGATTGACTTTTGTTTTTAAAAACTTTGTGGACATCCGTGGCTGTCCCCCATAATGTAATACCATAGCTTAAAATAGAGTACACGTTTAAGCATAATAAACATTTTTACATACTTCCAAGGAGGTAACCTGAATTAAAACACTTAAAGCATATCTTGTTGGACTAAGTTTTTTGTCCACAACTTATGAGGTCTTGGACATGGGGGAATACGGCTGTGACGCTTTTTGCGAGGCTTCAGCTATTAGACTACATAAACTAAACATGTTAGTCTTGTGTATTTACCGTACTCCTACTTCTAATTTTAAATGTTTTATTACTAACCTTGAAAAAATCTTAATTTGTCTATTTAATGATTCTCTTAAACACATAGTCTTGGCTGGTGATCTAAATATTGATATCCTCAAAACCCATGACCCCGAAACTGTTGAATTGATTAATCTCCTTAGATCATTTGATATTTATTGTGTTCATGAAACCCCAACCAGATTTAAAGCTTGCCTTGATGTTGTAGCCTCAAACATTACATCTGACCATGTTGAGGTTAGGTTACTTAACCAAGATATATTGTCGGACCATGCGGGTGTATGGACCACATTTACCCTGGATTCCTTTACTTTTGACGAAAGTAGAGATAGGCCCAGTCTAAAAAAAAGAGAAGTAGAAAAAAAGCGCATCTTATCTCATGAGAAAATTAGTGACTATAAGCAAATGCTATTATCTGCAAACTGGATGGGTATCTACACTAATGATGTAAATATATCTGTTAATGTGTTTTTAAATATACTGTCTATGTACCTGAATTTAAGTTGTCCAAAAATGTCTGTAAATAGTAGTTTTAAGGGAAAAAAGGGTTCACTGGTAAAATGGTTTACGCCTGATCTAGAAAATATGCGTAAATTACTCCTTGCACTGTACGACAAATGGAAAAGCACATGTGACCCAGATGACAAATTACTGTTTAGCAAATTTAAGGCACAATATAGGCAAGAAATTATAAGTGCAAAAATAGAAGCAAATGGTAGGTTTATAAGTAAATCGACAAATCAATGTAAAGCTGCTTGGCTGGTTGCTAAAAAGGAAGGTAGCTTGGTATCAACAAAGAAACAGATTATACCAATTTCACCTGAACAAATGAATAACTTTTTTGTTAATGCTTCCAATGTTCAAGGTAATGACCAATCTGTAACTAATACTGATTATAAAGAGTTTTTAAATAATAACATAAATCTAGATTGTAGTAGGCCTAGTATTAACTTTAAGGTCAATTTGGTTGATGTAAATACTGTTATGTGTGTTGTAAATAAAATAAGTAACTCTAAATCTGAAGATGTTTACGGAATGTCAAACTTTTTAATTAAGAATATAATTCATGTAATTGTAATACCACTAACTTTTATTGTTAACTTAGTTCTTAGCACAGGCATATTCCCTGAATGCTTAAAAGTGACAAAAGTTACACCCATCTTCAAAAAAGGTGATGTAAACAAACCTGAAAACTACAGGCCAATTGCAATCGTTCCTATTATAAGCAAGGTTATAGAACACTGTATTGTAAACCAGCTCAATGATTATTTTGTAAGTAATAGTTTGTTTTATCCTTTTCAGTTTGGCTTTAGGCCTAAACACTCGACAATAGATGCTGTTGAAAAAGTAGTTGAATATGTTTTAAATGGCTTTGAACAAAAACTCACTGTAGGGTCATTGCTTATTGATTTAAGTAAAGCTTTTGACTCTGTACCACACAAAATCTTATGTGACAAGCTAAAGTCTTATGGAGTAGCTGATAAGGAATTGAGGTTAATTCAAACATATCTCCAAAGCAGAAAACAGATGGTTAGCTTTAATAATATGAATTCCGAATACCTAGATGTTACAGTAGGGGTACCACAAGGCTCTGTCCTTGGTCCTTTTTTGTTTTTAGTTTTTGTTAACGATTTTAGCTCTAATGTTTCTACTTTTTCTGTGTTGTACGCTGATGACACCACCCTGGTACAATCTGATATAGATTTGGTGGGTGTTCAGAACAAACTTGACATAGCCTTGATGGAGTCAAAATCATGGTTCTCTGCAAATATGTTGGCTGTGAATGAAGGTAAAACAGAGCGCTTAATTTTTACACTACGGAACCATTGTGATTTAGATTTAGAAAATGACTTGTTCAAGCCTGTAAAACTGCTGGGTATTACTCTGGACAGTAAACTCTGTTGGGACGAACATGTACACAACTTGTGCAAAAAACTTGCTCGTGTTACCTGTCTTTTAAGAAAACTTAAAACTTGTGTTAATTCTGATGTTCTTTTTATGGTTTATTTTGGTTTGTTTCATACCCATCTTATTTATGATATAAGACTATGGGGCAATTCACCATCAGCAAAAAAAGTGTTTGTTTGGCAAAAAAAAGCAATTAGGGTTATCTGTGGCCTAAATGAAAATGATTCATGCAGAACAGTCTTTCCTGAACTTAGCATATTTACTCAACCTAGTCTGTTTATTTACTATAATCTTATATTTGTTAAAAACAACACCTATATCTTTCAAAAAACCTCTACTATTCATTCTCACAACACCAGACAAAAAGAGGACATTGTTAGACCTAGTATTAGACTTGATAAGTATTATAAGAGCCATAGTTACCATCAAATTTTAATTTATAATAAACTGCCAACCAATGTTAAAATGTTACCACCTAAGAAATTTATCCATGTTATTAACAAGTGGCTTAAAGTTAAGGCATTTTATACCACTGAAGAGTACCTGAGCTGTGACCCTCAAGACATTATCTATTGATTTTATATACTTTGACGACACCTATTGTATACTGCACATTTAATGGTGAATAAATTCTTGATTCTTGATTCTTGATTGATTCTTGATTCTTGTTTAGAAAATTAATATGCTCAGTCCATTGTAGTTTACTATCCAAATATATTCCTAAAAATTTACTACATTTAT